CATATGATATTGCTGGGTCCTGACTGAGCACAGATCCACTGTCAAATTTAGGAGCCTGGGGCAACACAGACAGAATAAGTAGCTAGTAAAGCTAAAGTTGGGAGATTGTACATGATAGCAGTAACTAACCTCAAGATCAACAATCATTTTCCTCAGATGAGTACTTCGAGCATTTTGCAGAAAAAGCTGTACTAGATTAACCTTTAGGGGGGAGGAGTCACAAATGAATCATACAAGTATATTAATTTGAATACTGGCACACGTCTTGAAAATTGGATTTGAATAAAGCAATAACCAGAGAAGCACCTCATAATAGCAAATGAAGTCACACCTCATCCTTATCAATTCTCCAAACCTGTTTATAGAGATCTTGGCTAGTGGAGGTGTTCCAGGAATCCACAGGCGCTTTGAAAAGGAAACCTAGAAGATTTAAAGATAAAACAAACAATGTCATGTTGGTAAGACATAACTGTATCAGCAAGGATTTTGCTTCTTCTAATCCTTGCAATGCTTTAATAAAAGAGCAAAGGAAGTAAATGACAATGCAAAAGCGCAAGAGTATAAATGATAAAAAATCAAACAGACAAAAGTAATATACTCACAGAAACATGGGCATGACTAATATCTGTAATCACCCCACTGGCAATGCTTGACGGCTAGATTCAGTGCTCAATATCTAAAATGTTAAACAGAATAAACAAATAATCAATTAACAGCATGGGACAATTAGTGAAAAAATAATAATATGCATAATCCTTTGCAAAATAAGTTAATATACTCATTTTTTTTCTGGGAATTAAACAATAATCTCGTACTAGTTAAACCATCAATGACAGACTTGTAGCCAATCAAAATACAACGTGGGGTAAAAGAAAAAGCATAATGACATGAAACCATGGGCTAAAAGCAAAAAGAGGGACAAATCATTTCCAGGCTTCTGTTTGAGCTTGGATTTGATTATACTTCACTGCTTCATGCATGTTCAATGTTATTTTTCTTGAAATAAAGATGTGAGTCTCATCAAATCATCAAAAAAATAATATAACGCTAGAGACATATCTCAATTGTAGCTGAAAATCACAAAATAATACCAGCATTCACGTCAAATATTAATCTGTCTGCAATCACAAGCTTTTGTTTTTGTGTGGGGAAAAAAAAATTGGATACCATATATCTCATTCAATAGATTAAAAGAAAGAGGAAATAACTCGCACCACATAGTCTCCACTTCTTAGTTTCAGATCTAAATAATTTGTTGTAGCTTTAGAAGGATCGCCATCTTCAGATAGGGAAGATGGACCACATCGTACAAAACGATAAATGAAACAATTATCTTTAAGAGATTTCTGACGTGGAATATTATTTGAAGCATCAAGGATGACAGAAGAAAGGCCAGTACTGTTCTGACTTTTAAAAGCATGTGATCGCCACATCTCTTTCTTTACAAACTGCAAAAGTAGAGTGAGAAATAGACATAAGAACTAATATAAAGAACATTGCTAACATAAACATAGAAGAGACCTCAGGGGAAAGTATAAAGAACACTGCCTTAAAAGTTATACTCAGTCTCTTTTGCTTCTAAGTCAATCAGCCAATCCCAATGGCAGAGGAACTTACAATAAGTAGATGAAAGGTGATTAGTATGTGAATCAAACACATCTCCCAATCCACTACTCATTGCACTTCCTCCTTGTACCTTAAGCATTTCAAGATATTACACCAGAAGATGAACAAATAAGCACATTAACAAGACAAAAGGCTAACACAAGATATGGTATAAGATCATGAAAAGCTTGGAATAAAAACAGTGTCACAAGATCAGAATATTGAAACTCAACACAAGCCATTTTGATTTTATTGGAATAGTATTTATTCGTATCTTTTCTTTATTTAGCTACTCTATGGACTATAGATATCCCACATCAGCTCTATCATAACTACCTAGCCTAAATCCATTTCGCAATGTTTAGACCATTGGCAATGGTCAGACCACGGTCAAACCATTCATGAATAAATTAATATATTTTAAATAATATGCTTATAATAAAAGAAATGATCTCTATAATTATAAAAACGAAACACTCCATAATCTTCATTCAAATGTATATATACGTATTTTATAACTAAAATTAAACTAAATAAGTTTACAGCACAAGATATCTAACTTGTATATAGTTATTTATAATTTATAATTTTAGAATATATACACAATTTTTTATCTAGTTGCGCCCATTATTTTCCTTTCACACAGTTTATTAAGTATAGATATGCAAAAATCATAGCTTAGAAATATGGATCAAACTCGTTAAAATATATATAGATATATATGAGAGTGGTTTGACCAGTTGACCAACTGGTTTTATGAGTTTTGATGAGTTATTCCTTCCCTGAGTTTTCCCTTTACATCAGATCGGAGAAGTACCAGTCAAACCAACCAATTCAGTCTGATTCTCTTAACATGCTATCGCAAATAAATGTAATTCTAGTCTCCCTTTAAAAGGGTTTTCAAACACATTATCTGTTTCTTTTATTCTTTGAATTCCATTGCAAGCTACTTTATTTGCCGAATAAGGCTCTAAGTTGCAGAGCATGATAGATCTCAGCCCTGGTGAACCCAAGGCACCCCACAGAGTTTGATGCCAGCTTCAGTGAAGGAAAGGAAACAGTCAAATTACTTCCAAAGTCAAAACTCATGAAAACAATGACTGCAAAGAAGATATTGACAAACCGCGTGTCTGACTCATCATCAATATAGGCCTCCTGAACTCCCGCCATGTGCACGGCGTGGCATGCATGAACTGTTGCAACTAACTTGAACACCACAAAAGCCTTCTAAATATTCCTTCCTCAAGCCTTTGATGTAGCAGTTAATAACCATGTTCTCTAAAATATCTAGTTCCTTTACAAGCTCATCAAGCTTCCCTAGTAATCCTAAACTGATCCATCTTATTGCATGTTCATGATTTCAACCATCGATTCACATCAAAAAATCGAGCCTCAAGGTGCCTGATATATTCAACCCAAGTAGGTTCAACAGATCAATGCTTCAAAGAATTGATGGGCCACTTCAACACTATCCTTTCTAAATGAATGCTCGGATACTTAATTCAGTAGGCAAGAGGTGTATTATCCATGTCAAAGTACTGAAAGCACAGATAGGAAAAGCCACAAAAGCCTGTTCAGTCAAACTTCAAAATCTCCAAATGACGGTGCTTTGTTGATGGTGTACTATGTTCTAACTTCCATACAAACCATTAAGGAGCCAGCCTGAAATATGGAGTTGCAGATCCTTGATTGTTCTGAATGTGTGGTCAATTTATCCACCATGACCATTCTTATATCACCGACAAAGCAATCTTCGATGCCACCACTACCATTGTTGTTTTGATGCAATTGATGACTTGCTTCCGCTCAGTGATGTCCACCAAATTCTGGTCTAAACTTTAATAGAGATATTAAAAGGCTAACGCCCAACTATGATTGAGGGAGGTTAGAGAATAATGTAGTTTTAATTAGTTAGTTAGTCATGATTCTTTGTTAGTTAGTACTATAACAGTAACAAGACATAAGTCCCTAATCCCATGTATATATTATACACTCTATAATGAAAATGATCAATACTATCATTTCCTAATTCTCTTCCACTCTCACAGTATCTCTCTATTTACTTCACTTTCATGAAGCTTCAGCTGAGTGCTCTCCAAAAGTCCTGCAAACACTTCAATTCTCTATTCCAGGTATCCAATTCTCGTGCAGCCTTGCCTCCAGAGGTGTGATGAGCCAAACTCCACTCTAATACCAAATGTGTTAGATTAGGAAAATGAAAAGGAGATATCTCATTCACACTTATTTGATAGTCAAGGGTACACCATATATGTGTGCCCCTCTCTCACACTACTTAGCGAATTATTCCTCTATTTCTTACAATACTAATAACATCCACCAATACATCTAACACGTATCATACTTGGTTCCATATATTGCTGCTACTATTTACAAAAAAATAAGAATTTCATGGTTAAAATTTTCAACAATTTCATCAACACAAATCACCGCACATAAAACTCCATTTTCAGAACTAGTGTGCCACTGAAAAACTGTTGTGACAAAAAAAAAATTGTCACAAAATAGTTCTAAACAAAATCAATCCATATAGATGATTAGAATGGAGTCCATTGTAAATTAACTGTTCTCTCGCTAAATTTGCATGCAACTGCATTTTCAAAATTTTATATACCAGTGCAACAAATCCATGAGTAGGCCCAGTTATTTCAAATTCCAAAACAGTCATAGTTAGATATTTATGTCATTTTTTATGATTAAGGCACAAATAATTAACTCCTCATGAAATAATCAAATTTTCTACAACTTGAGGTCCAACACCCTAATTAAAAAAGAATAAAAATATGTGCAAATACAGGTATTTTTCTATTGTTCATAGGCATCCTCCTATTGGAATTAATCCTATTTGGGGCACGGTTGGGGCACTAAATGTGGACATCTCTCTTAGCAAAAATTTGAATCTTGGTTCATGACATTGTGAGGGATTAACCCCTTTGCTAGACTCAATCCTTGTTGATGGAAATAGAGGTATTTAGATCTTAACCGAAACTTTCTAGAAAATGGGGGGAAACCATGGATGAGCTTTTCAACTTTTATAACGATCCACCATCTTTTAACTAAGACATAAATCTAAAATAAATGATACCAAATTACACAAAATTGTTCCAATTATCATGATCAGGAATCGAAGCAGAAGATACTATTATGCTCTTTAAATAGCATGGTAGTCTTTATTTAAAAAAAAATATAGCACGGTAGTCATGAAGGTTCCCTAGATTTAAGAAAAATATCATAATCTAACCTACGTTATTGTTTATTCATATTAGAAACATGGTGCCCGTTTAGTTTGATACCCTGAATCAGGATTAGCCACAATCCAAATGCATTTCATTCATTTATAGCGTTTGGTTGGTATTTCTTCATTCAATTATGTTTACCATAATAGATGAGATTACCAAAAATTTGGTAATCATCATTCTCATACGAAAATAATAAAAGTACATGTCATTTAGATGGTTATTGACTGTTGAGGGTAGTTAGGTCATTTAGCTGTCTTTCAATGATTTTACTCAGCATTCCTATAAAATTAGGATGCCTCCTCATTTGTAAATAGCCTATTGATATAATGGAAGTCTATTGATGACAATCTGTCTCTCTACTCTCTCTCTGTGGTTCTCTCTATCTCCTCTGTTCTTCCTCATTCTTTCCCAATTCTGTTCTACTTCTCTATCGCTATTCTACTTTCTTCTCTATTTTTCTATAACAGTGGCATTCAAAGCCTGGTCATCCTCAGCATCATAAATATGAAGCAACTTTCTCATATAACAATGGAGCTCAAAAATAAAGCCGTAGAGCTTAAAAAGTGGAGTGTTGTAAGGGAAGATGTGACAGAGTTAAGAAAATTGTTGCTGCAAGAATCATTCTTGGACGATGCCCCAGTTGCTTCTGTTGAAGAAGAAGATGGATTTGGTTCGGTTCCTTTCCCAACAAGCCCAAACGAGGTCATTGATGAGCAAGAACTGTTGCTGCTCCAAAAGATTACGGGTCTTGTTCAATCTCCTTCCCAGAAACATGCGACAGAGTGCAGCAACCTCTGGTTCGTGATGGCAATGATTTCAAGAAGGATCCTTGGTATGTTCTTGCAGTCGAGCAAGATGATTCAAGATTACCCAAAGAAAAACAGCATTGTCTACTTCAAATGGAGTGGTTGTCCCTCAATTTTGCACCTTCTAAGTTTACGGGTCAAGTTGCTTAGGAAGAATTAAAAAAGAAGGCCCTTCTTGTCGCAAAACCTCTGTCACCATGGGTCCCTCATGATTCGGTTCTTTCAAATTCATTGTTATCTCCAGATTTTGTCACCTTCCATCTCAATTTCTTCTTGGTTGCTGGTTCCTATTTCTTTCCCGTCACTGGTTTATCTTTCTTTCATCCTGGACCTCTGTTTGTTCCATGGTGTTGTGTTCTATTCTCAGCCATTGTTGGGTTCTATTCATTTAGCCTATAGGGTGCCAAGGGTTGAGATGCATAGCCAAGTTTCGCTATTTTGGGACATGGTATGGATCATATTTCAGAGTTCTTCGCACATTGGGATTGCTGCACATGCGAGTATGTTGCCTGGGAGTGTTACAGTGCCGTGTGTGTAAGAATAAGTCAGCGCACAACTGACTATCTTATGGTGGACCCGCAAGAATGGTACCGGCTTCCTTTTTTTTTTTATTGAAACAATGGTACTAGCTTTTTAAAACAAGAAAGAAGAAGAAAAAGGACGAAAATGAGCAGCATAGGCTAAAGGCATTTTCAGTGAATAGTCAAGTCAAAAGCTCAAATAATCAGTCGTCATACTACTATCCCAAAGGGATTTTCAGACTTTAAGAGAAAAGGTTCTTCTGTCTGGTTTTGAAATTTGTACCTAAGGATTATGCTGTGAGGACAAGAGTCCTTGCGAGGAGGGTTATTGATATGAAAATAATAAAAACATTTGTATTTTATATGGCAATTGACTGCTAAAGGTAGTTAGGTCATTTAGCAGTCTTTTAATGATTTTACTCAGCATTAGGATGCCTCCTCATTTGTAAATAGCCTATCTGACATAACGGAAGTCTATTGATCAGAATCTCTCTCTCTCTCTGGTTCCCTCTATCTCTTTTGTTCTTCCTCATTCTTTCCCAATTCTGTTCTACTTCTTTATCTCTATTCTACTTTCTTCTCTATTTTCTATTAACACATTCTCATCTAGATAGGTATCAATGAAAATTACCAGAGGTCAAAAATCAGATTGAACTTAAAATACCCCATCCCTCCCTATTCTTCTTTATGCCACCTCCATCGCCATTCTTCCTCCATCCACCACAGCTAGTAAACCTCTACCATAGTCACCAATCACCAGTAGCGACCTTCGACCACCTTCACCTCGACATCACCGCACCATCAAACTCCTACCCACTCCAGCGCCGCCGCCACCATAGATCTCCCCACTTAGCGGCAGTCACCTCTAACTCCTTCACCTTCACAATTCCACTTGCATCACAGATATGATTTGTCTTTCATCGACCCGTGGATCTTTTTCCTTTTTCCTTTTCACCGAATCTGGGTTTGGATTTGTGAGAGGTCTAGTTCAATGGTTCATTTTGGTCATAGATCTGATGCTCCTCCTTGAACACAAGTTCGACAGTTCATTCCAGATGTGGTTTCCTTCTCCATCAATCTGGTTCACCATTTGCGAGTTCGTTCAAGTCTGGTTCTGCAATAATGTTCTTCTCAATTCCATTTGCAATTCATTGTTGATTATTTTGTGAATGATTTCTACGTCCTCCATTCAAGTCTGAATGATGACTTTTTGGGGTTCATTGGTGAAGAGGAAGAAAGAACAGAGGAAGGAGGGAGACATATTCTTTTCTTTTTATTTGTACAAACTAAATATCAAAAATTTATTTTATTTTATCTCACTTTTCCTAAACGTCATACCACACAAATACTCTAATCATCATTCTGTTAAATTCTCTATCATTTTTTGAACCAGACAGGCCAGTAGTATTTCAGTTAGCAACTTAATGTTTCAGAACATGTCAGAACAGATCCTGTTACTTAAATTTAAAGGAATCTTACGAAAGCAAATTTAAGTATACTTATCATATGAGTGAACGAGACAGAAACAATTATAACAATTTTATAAACCCCTTGAACAAGTAAAGTACCTTGTGATAAATGCTACAAACATTAAGATGGCGACAACCTCGGCAAATGCTCAGACTCTACAAATAGAAAGATGAAAAACAGGTAGTGACATCTGATCAAGTTATCATAAGCACCGAGTGTAAGAGTGTCAAATAAGTTCATGCCTGTAACATTGGAGGCAGTTGTTGAGTGGTTAATGCTTTCAGAATATCACTTGCAAGCTCATTACGTCGCATGATTAGCCCAACTAAGTCAGATCTTTGAACAACAATACCCTTCATGCAACATAAAAATGATAAGACTTCCCATCTTATTAAAAAGATATAGCTAATTAGTATCAACATGACCTTACCTCCGTCTGATCTGACTGGAGATAATATAGAAGACCAGAATCAATAGTCTTTAGGTACCTATCAAATTAAACCATCCGAAATAAGTAAAAGGACGTTTTCTTAAAATATTTTATTATAGATATGTTGCTAGAAAAAGATTACACACCTTTCTGACATCAGAAGAGTGTACAAGATCACTTGGGCACGGTGTTCTATGGATGACTGGAAATATCAAATGCAATTGTCATCAGAAATATCATACAAGAAAACTTGGAGTGACGTTTTATGCATTCCCATAAAAATATAAATCAAACCCGACATTCTATGGCATAGATTAGTAGTAGTATGAACCAGAATCTTGCCTGGCCAGACATTGCTTTCCCAGTTTTGAACTCTAATGGCATGACCTTTTCATCTGCTTCATTTCCCTTAGGTAGAACTTTCACACTGACAGAAGCATCAATCATCCCTTTCAAACCATATTGAGGAGCCCATGCCATTTCCTCAATATCAAGCACCTACATTTGACACAGATGCCTTTAGCTATATAATGTTCTTTTAATTGAAAAAACAGAAAACTAAAAACAATACATACATGTGTATGTCAGCTGAAACTCTGAAATTATCATTTTTAGAATAAGACAATTACATGATTACTCTAGACATAAATTACAATCAAGGACACTAGGAATTAATGATGAAAATACTAAAAATTAAATTAATCATGCTCCTTCTCAGGCTTATCAGATATTAATCATGCCCCCTCACCTGCCTAGTTCATTCAACAGATCTAGAGTATATTTCCTTTGGGAAACTGTAATGTTACCTCTTTCAAGTGTATTTTCTTATGGTAAATTTCAGGATTCTATATGCTTTAAATCTATTGAAGCAAGCAGGCATTATGGGTGCAAAGCCAGATGAGATACCCATGAATCCCACTAACAAGTTAAGCCCGAATGATAGGACAACTCCAGTTGATATAGGGAGGTATCAAGGATTGTTGAGTAAGCTCATCTATCTCTAATACACAAGACCAGACATTGCTTTCCCATAAGCATGGTAAGTCAATTCATGAGAGAAGTCTGCAAGAGGAACATATGAAGGCAGTATACATAATCTTGAGATATTTGATGACAACTCCTGGGGAAAAGGATTGTTCTTTGAGAAAGGAAACTCTAGAGATGAAGTATACATAGATGCAAATTGGGCTGGATCCACTACTGCAGAAGATCCACTATAGGAGACGGCTACATTAGGACAAGTACCAGCACATGAAGCCTGTTTGAACAATGTTACAGTAGAGTGTGGAGGGTGGAGTGACACGTGAAGTCCTATGATAGTACAATTGGCATGGTTAGGTCAGTCACCAAGTTCTGTAGAGTTTCTAAGGTCTTTGAAGCGAAAAGGAATCAAACAAATGGCATAGTCATGCGCCAAAATCTATAAAGGCTACAAAATAACAAAAACTTTATCCCATTAAGTGAGGGTTGGCCACTATAAAAAGCAACAGAACTGAGAGAAAATTACTAGAAAGAAAAAATTATACCAGATGCTAGACTGAAAGACAATGACTGAAGAAAGCAAACCAAAAGAAGAGCAACAGCAAAACTTTGTTAAGAGTGTGGACAAAGCTTTGTTCCCAAAAACTCACAAAGCTTATTTCTCTCCCCAACAAATGTTAAATACCACGACAGTAAGTCTGAAAATCCCAGCTTTATTATTTTCAGATTGAGACAATTACATGAGTATGTATGAACACATATGGAGGCCTACATTAGGGACAAATTACAATTAGGGACATCAGAAAATAATGAAATATCAAAAATAGAAATGACTAAAAACTACATTACTTTTAATTTCAATTCTAACACTTATAACAAGAACATATGCACATGAACTTATTGGATGGAAAACTTTAAATTTACAAAATCAAAAACGCATCAACATTAACACCTAGTAATTTCTCCAGCAACTCCAACAACTTTTTATTTACAATCATATTTCACCAACAAATTACATATGGATTCATAGTGATATGCAATTGATCAAATGGTTAAGCACAGAGTGATCAAGTTTGGTCCTTGCCTCAGATACTTTGACTTTCTTTATCCCATCATCACATCCAAAATCAACATAAGCATCTCTGTTTTCCTGTCAAAATCCAAAGTCATTAGTGAGAAACAAAAACACCATACACGTGGACACATATATATATATATATATTATATACAGTGCAGATTACTTATAAATATGAAGTGTATATAAGTACACATTGACAGGCTTTACTTAGTGTGTTTTCTCTGTAATACTTCTTCCTAAAATAAAATTTTGGGAAAGTCCCTATGAAGTTCCCCACAACCATTCAAAATATACATAGGTCCCATGCGATAGCTATAATTTGTTTCATTGGGGCCTCCCTTCTAACATCCAGACAATAGTAAGCTTCTTTAAAGCTTCTGCTAGCTAAACCCGTATGCAATATAGCAATGGGCCATGTGGTGTTTGGACAGCTGTAGAAGAAAATCGGCTCAAGCATCTAAGGCCATATAATACAAGTTATGGAGGGAGGTCCAAACCCAACTGCTATTATGGCTAATAAAGAGTAAGGATATACTCTTGTTGAGAGCAATTAGTTAAATTAGTCTAGAACCAGCAATGAGCTTGGGGCACCAAGGAGTTGGGCCATGTGGTATCTGGGCGGTAAAACAAGCATGTGGGCCACCATCAACTACTGCAGATACACAATTGGCCAAGGATTCTACATTGAGCCATAGAGTTGTGCAAATCAAGAGTCTCTAAACAATAATACAGATTTTGAAATGTCCCAATGAATTTTAAAATTTTTATCGCATAGATCATTGACAGCAAGGATCATTTCAAAGGGGGGAAGTATTGTTAATTGGGATTAGTTAGGATTAGCTATTCATTAGTAGATGTTATTCTATTAGATAACTTGTATTCCCTCCAAACCACAATATAGGGCATCTTCTAGAAGCCTTGCTTGATCCAAAAATTTAAGGCATCAGATAATTTTTTTAATTATTTTTCCAATTATACCCCCACTTCATTTATTACTCTTTTTGAAAATTGATTCATAAGAATTTCAATTGTCATTATCAAGGCACTTATATAGAATATTTAATGAGGGTATAATTGGAAAGATGAAATTTTTTTAATAGATCAAAGTTTCAACTAACTTTTTTTTGAGAATCGTGAATTAATTATCAATTTTCTATACTATGGGACAAATGGAGTATCCCAATAGTAGCTTATGAATAAGGGATGAGGCCCTCTAAATGAGTAAATGAATTGAATAGTGTTATGCGTTTACAATTGTAAAATATCACTTAGTTCTAACAAAACATAGCTTAAATAATCTTCTGTCGGTAAACAAACTTACGCAAAATATGAATACAGTAGCCTACTTTTCCCATTTTCAAGTCGACATTTTGCACTAACCCATGCATCTACGTTAAAAATGCTTTTAACATGATTCCCTTTTCTTTTCTTCTTTTAAGGCTTTGACAGCCCAATGATGTGTGTCATAGGCATGGTGAGCATCATAGGAGTCACAAAATAATCATCCTTTATTCTTCAAGACTCTTTACAATTCTTGCCAATAAATCCTAACCATTCAAGACTTAAAACTATTGTTAAGATAGGCCAAATAATAAGCATAATTTCATGTTATTTTGTAAGCATTGTTCATACCTATATCAAAAAGATCACAAAGCCGTGCAGTACTGTTGTAAGTTACATTTGGCGGCAAAAAGCAATGACATGCATTCCAAAAGGTAACAGCTAATGATAGTTGATAGTTCGTGGACAAAAGCTAGAGATATTTTAACGCACCTCTGAATTCTTGAACAGTTTGATCCAATTTAATATTCGTGGAATGGCGTCTATCAAGGTTTTGTGCACATCATTTTCATTTACTGAAATATGCACAAAGGCAAAAATTAATACTCCTGATGATACAGAACACAGATCAAAAACTTATTTTGAACAAGTTACAACGAAGATGTTAAGAATCAGCCACAAGAACACTGAATTTTATCCAGCCTTTTGATGATTATGGTTGCAACCAGGGTTGGAAAAAACTCGCAGCTCAAAGTAAGAACTAGCTATGCATGTTACACACATGCACGCACACACTAATATAAATACATACACAAACCCTCACCTCCACATGCATACAAGCTTTCAATGTTTCTCTGGAGTACCAATCGTGCATATTCCTCTAAGAAGTTTGTTGAAGGACTATCCTTGATAAGTCCAGCCTGTCATCCCCATCAAATCCCCCATCCCATTAAAAAACAAAGGAAGAAGAAGAAAATGAATCTGAAATTCGATGCATGCTTCATCACAGCAAAATAATTATAAAGATGCAATAACAACTTTATAAGGTAGAGGAGCTTTAGAGACCTGAAAAATTTGGTGAAGTAAGGTTCCAGTTAATGCAGCAATTGAGTGCTCATTACATTTTAGCCTCTCATCTAAGACAGTTCTCCTTGGACAAGTAAAACTAGCAGCTACCTGGAATAATTCTGTATATCAGAAGGAAACATATAAAATAAAAAACAGTGAAATAAACATTGAAAAAAAAAAACTGGAAAAGGGATTCAAAAAAGATCATCTGAATCTCTGTTTAAAAATAACAAGACCGTTTATAGGAAAGAGAAAGCAACATTTCTACAATAGCAAATATTGGCATTCTCATTTTATAAATAAAATTCCGATAAGATAAAAGTTATCCAATTAGAGAGAATTAGGAAACATTGATCCTGTAAAATTACCACATCATATAAAAAATATCTAATGAAGTAAATAAAATAAGGAAAGTCATGGACAGAAATAAATAAATAAATATAGTTTCAAGATAGCAAATCATAAATACCCGAGACCCAGACACCAGAATATCTGGGTGTACAATCAAAAAATTATTATCATGATCTACATCACAATGCCCCCAATCATCAAATTGACCAATTATATTCACAGTATCTCCAGGTGCAACAACACTGTAAGACCTGTAATAATTTTAAACAATTACTATAATTATTCAAAATTATTATCAACAGAGAATAATAAAAAAACTCAAAATCAATCAAATAATTCATTTAAATTCCAAGACCAATACTTAGTCAAGATTTTTCAACTGGAGTCAGCAAAAAACAAAACCATTTGACATACCAAATAATGTCTTGTTTTGAACTATTACATATATATATATATATATATACACGATCAACTTTACTGATTAACAATCATAGATTTAAGCACACCAACTTACCACTCTTCCAACAAGTTTGCAGCCTTCTCTTCTCCAGTTTGTTCATTTATTAAACGAAGCACCTAGAAGCAATTTATCAAGTAAATGTAAATCAATTACAAGATCTTTAGAAGCAATAAATTGCGGTGTTATAGCAATAAGCCTTAATAAACCTTGTATGGGCCTTGCAAAGCAGATGAATTAGCAAGACTATGTTTTTCAGATACCTATAACAAAACATACAAGTGGTAAGCCTACCAGAATATAATTTTTGTTGATAAAAAATTTATTCATAGCAGACCATAATTTCAAAGAAAAAATACCTCCAAGACCAAATAATTAGAACTGGACCCACCAAGGGCCTCTTTGGGCTTATGAATTATAGTGCTTTCTGCTGCAGAGTCAACTCTGATGGGCAGATTATCAGCAATTCCATCTTGAGACTTAATGTAATTTGCACTTTTATCACAGATTGTAGCATCTTCAACACAAATGGCATCTTCGACTTGATCTAACAGTTCAAGCAATGCCTATAGAAATAAAGAAAAAAGAAATACTCTAATGAATGTGTGGCTTCCGCAAGCATTGTAACTCCTGAGGTTTAACTGCTATATAGTCTGGCGTGTAAAAGGTCACAAGCCCCTTTTCACGAAACAGAAGAAATATGTGCAATTGGTAGGACAAGAACAGGAGACAGTTTTGAAGAAATTGTCCATGCAACCAGCAAGCAGGAAACTGTAATTATTTTTCTTCATATGTAAATTGCTCGGGATGCATTTCCTTTGTCATATGTTTCCTGTCATCCCACTCAGAAGTCAAAGCATTTTCTTTTCCTTGCTAGTCTAGCTCTAACTGGTTCCTCTATATCTTCTTTTTCAAAAGGAATATAGTAGACTATCAGACAGGGAAAAGTATTAATGTCCTTGTTACTACAGGCACAAGGTGTTGCAAACAGCAATTTACATATTATAACTGGAATTATTTAATACCACATGCCTCAAATTTGCAAATTTCAATGAACTAGATCTGAATGAATTAATATTGCAAAAGCAAGTCCAAAGGCCTGACCTTTTTATGCTGTCTTAAATAAAGCTGGTCAGATAGTCCATTGTGCTCAACATCCCTGACTAGCTGCACCTTCAAATTCAACATGAAATGAAGATGGTACTAAAAAGCATTATTTGAAAGACGGGAAGGTGACCAGAAAAATACAAGCATGTTGAAAAATAAAATAAAATAAATAAGAAAAACTTTTCCAAGAATTTTACATCTCTGTCTTACATCGTTGGAGAGGTTTTCCACTATTACATATTTTTATATTCTGAAATGTATAGTATAAATTGATGAAATAACAGATCAATAGGACCAATAAACTATGAAGATTAAAATACCTTATCAGAGCAATAGGATAGAGATGGTGGAGTTCGGAAGGGGCTCTGTACAGTAATTACTCCAGAACCATTCACAGCAGTTGAACTGACGTTAAAAACCATGTCTTGGTCTGCGTTTATACGTTTCAAGCCTTTTTCATTCTTCAACACTGTTGACCTCTCAGCAGCCTTTGTAGCTGGTGAAGCAAGTATCTTTTCAAATTTGCCACCTTTAGTCAGAGAAGTCTGCACCATGCATTGGCAATTTATAACCATATTAAACGATAAAACATGAAATTAACAGTGTCTCCTCAAACACTTGCCTGATTCTCTGAGGAAATCCCAACGGGCAATAAGTTGATTCTAGAAGATTCAGCCAAAGCCTGAATCATCTGAGGCATGTGTTTTGAAACTGCTTGAAGTCTTTCATTCACAGGAGATATCTTCCATGTGACTTCATCAACCCCATCATCCTGGCTCTGTTTTATTAACTATCCACAAGTATATTTTTGCAAAGATATAATTAGAAACATTGAAGGAAACAAGCAAAGATGTAAACTTGCAATTTAATCAGCAACTTGCATAGGAAGGTAGTCACAAAGAAAATGTGCTTCTTTTAGCACTTCCAAGTTAAAAGTAAAAGCAATAAAAATTGTTGTTTTAATTCAGGTACAATTGAAGCATTTTTGAGAATGTATTCTCGGAAAATAAACTTCGAATTTCCATAACTGATTAGCTATCCCAACTGAGTCCTAACCTGTTGGATTTAAGTGATACTTTTGAATAACTGAGAACCGACAATCCGTTTAATAATTAGGAGAAAGGGAGCGAAATGATCAATTGTTTTTTTTTTAAAAAAAAAAAAGGTCTAAAACATCGTTTAAAGCAAATACCATCCCAGGCGAGAACTTAAAGCGCTTATGAGGCACAATCTTGGAAATTTCCGGAGACGCCTCAGGGAGATTTTCCACAGCATCAAACCCTGGTATTAACAAATTCTCTGAAGGAGTATCCTGCGAAACGTTATTGAATTCATTTGCTCCAACTTGCGGGGTGTCTTTACGCTTTTGCGATTCTGAATTCTCAATTTTTGGCCCAGCCAAGTCTGAGTTCAATTTACTTTCAGCTCTAGCAAGAACGGAATCTAAATTGTTTGGAGCGACAGCTTGCGACCCAGCAACAGGTGGAATATGAGAGTTAGGAGATGCAACAGACTTGGAATCTTGGGGAGCAGAAATGGGACGGTTCGCAGCTGGATCATTTTTTGGCTGCTTCTGAGAGGCTACAAGAGCATTCTGGGTGTGGCGCTCAAAAAAATGCTGAATGCCGAACTTAGAAGGCTGAGCCTGGCTGCTCAGATTCGATTTCTTAGAAGAGCTGGGTTTCTTCCTAGGAGGCATGGACAGATATACAAAGCTTTTGCACTATGAAAACCCAGAGCAAAAACGGAACATCAGACTACTCAGCACGAATGGCATAAAAGAAAGAAAGAAAGAAATTAAAGAAGTACTGATTTTAATTATGAGCAAGCAAGGCCACCTTAAGATGAGTCAAATTACAAAAATAAAGTAGAATTCAGGACTAAAAGAAAAGAATCAGAAGAAGGAAGCAACTCAGAAACGAACATTTACACAGAACCAAAATCAAACAGCTTCAAAAGTGTAATAACATGAAAAATGAAAGCTGGGTTCTCCATCAGTGCAAGAATGCTACCTTGTAGAGGGAACACAGAGTAGTCACTATATCAAATTGAAGGGCTTAAGACCCCACGAAACGGGAATGAGGCAAAGCAAGCATCACTTGTGTGGAAATTAATGGCAATGGAGGCAACGGCCACTTGTGCGATGCTCAATCCCACCGAATCTGGATCTCAGGTACACGGCGGTGCGACTAATGCTAGCAAGAAAAATAGAAGAGCGGCGAAGAGAAATTAGCAACCAGAATATAACAACCCTTTCTCAAAAAATAGCTCTTAAAAAAAAAGCCACAATGATCAGCAACCAGAATGAGACATTGCATTGATAAAAACATTGCATTGCATTCGGGCATTCCATTCAACCAAACAAGCCGGGAGTTTCAAGGCATTCCATCCTGAAGTGGGGAATCGACGCAAATCGCCACCAGTGACGGAGAGGACGATACCCGACCTCTCCATAGCAGCAACAGCAACAATCTTCCGCTTCCAAGGAGAACCAGTCGAAGCAGCGTGAGAAGAAGAGCAAGAGGGCAAGTGGGAAAAGAATAGGGATAGGGGAAATGTTCCCAAAGTGAGCGACTAGCATCCAAGGAAAGCACAAAGACCAAGTCAGAACAAATAAACAAAGAACCATATCAGAGTCCAGAACGAGCGGAGCCAGAACGAAGAACCATAAAAGGGAACCAAAATAAAGGGTACAAAGAACCATACCAGAACAAAGAAGGCAAATAGAAAGGCGACGCACCTGATTCAAGAGCACAACGAAGTAGGGGACGCACGCGAGCTCTGAGACGGAGAAGACGGATGGAGACGCCCCAAGAATGAAGAAAGAACGATGAGAAGGCAGCGCAACGTTTGGCTTCCCCATCTGGCCATGTCCCCCCTCAGTTTGCAAGTGAAGAGGGAAGCGAATGAAAATTTCACGGTTTCCCGCCTAAACCATTGTAGCTTCTCACAGAGTGAGCCCATGACTTTTGATGGGCCTGCACTTTTGCTGTTGCTCATGAAATTGGCGTACTTCACGCATAAATTACTCATTTTTCATATTTTTAGTCAATTTTTAAGTAATTATCATTGGTAATGGAGCAAAAATGATTGAAAAAATTACAGTTATATTTCAAAAAGTTGAATTAATGATACAAAAATGAGTTAAGAATATTTATTCATATAATTACAACATAGTTTTTGTTTAGTTTTTGTTTGGTTTAAATACTTGTTTAATTACAATATATATTCAATTACAAATAAGGTATTTAAAGACTTGTTTGGTTTTTGTTTTATTTTTTATTTTTAAAAACTGTTTTACAACATTTTTTTTAATTTTTAAAACAGAATAAAAAAATCCATTTAATTATGTTAATTTAAAAATTAATTATATAACTAAAAATTGGTGGCAATTAATAATAATAGTTTATGATAGTAATTGGTGAATGTGACTATAATTTTTAATAATTAAATATAATATATTTTAAAAATATAAAATAAAACAAAAAAATTTTTAAGATATTTATATTTTTAAAAAAACAAAAATGAGAACAATTTTAAAAATAATTAAATTTAGAATGCTTATTTCAATGAGTATTTTTAATTTTTGTTTTTCAAAAACAAAAGACTATGGACCCTAAATTTCAATTATCACTAGGATTTTTATTTTGTTAGTGTTTAAATTGATGTTTGTAATTTATTTGGAACTATAAACCAAGGTTTATTAACTTGATAGTGATCAAATTATGATTGGACAAGTAATAAAATTAATATATTTTCAATCTTATAAGACAAATATTTTCATAATAAATCAATATAATAAAAACTAAAGAAAGTATTACTTTCAAACACATCAACACTCAAAGGATAACTAACGAATCAAATACAACTTAAAGTTTTAAAGATAAATGTGAACGTATAGTCTAGTAAATAATAAATTAAATATGACTTGAAATTGCATGAATAAACTTGAGAATAGCGTTCACAAAAATTAAACTAACTTGTTACTTGATTCAACTGATCAAAGAGTTGAATCAGTTTATCTTAAAATCTCGAGTTCAATTCTTAAAATATATAATCATGTTAAATAAATATATCACAAGCATTTAAAGTACCTATGGCACTGCTATTGATAATCATGATCTCATATAGAAAGAGTTCAAATTAGTCTAGGTGGGAGGCGAAAATATCCCCAAGTTTTTTAGAATACTGAGCCCAATAAAAAAGAGAAAAAAAAGGAAAAATATTGTTTAAGCTTGTATAAACTTTTTTTTCCATCCAACATAGTATATTTTTGAAAGGTAGAATAATTTATTTTACCAAAATATCCAATAATGTAAGCAAGGGTGGAACCAAAACTTAGAGGGTTGGGAGGCCAAATTAAAAAATATATATACACCCATTTAAAAATATAAAATATTTTTAAAAAAATTAAACGTTAAAAAATGTAAGATATTTTTAATATTTTAAAATATAGTTAATTTTGTTTAAAAATACCCTCAATAAATAAATTATTTTTAAGTAAAATAACTTATTAAATAAAGGTAAATATAATCATTGAAATATGATAACCCCTTAAATAACGCTTAGATTTCTTAAAAAATTAGTCTCACCTCTCACAACGATCAATTGTGGAGATACCTTAGATAATAAAAAAATAAAAGTAAATATAAAAAGATGGACATAATTTAAAAAAGGTAACTAATTTAAATCTACACTTGTCTAAGAATCTACCCAAACTTATTAAATCAGCTGAGGCTAATATTCAACAACCAAATAGACACATTTCCACTCTAAGTTCATGACAAATTTAAAAGAAGAGTTTGACATCAATTTTCCACATGTAAAAAACAACATTGAAATTACTTGATTGTCTTTATCAAATAAAAGATTACTAGAATTTATAATAAAACGTTTTTGTCAGCTGTCAAAGCATATTCTGTAAAGAAATGTACATCCACATATTGTAATTTAACTATCCTTCACTATACATATTATAACTTCACTAGCCAGAGTGGTTTAATTAACATAATATTCAATACGCAAAAGATACGATGGGCCCCCAAGTTTTAAATTCACTCCTTACAACTTTTATCATGTTTTTCTTTCTCCAAACGCCCTGTAAAAATATGTAAAGAATTTTAATAGACTTCATATAAATTTAATAGACCCTCATCCACCATTAACACGACCGCAATCAACTAAAATAATTCATAGTTCCCAGAACACCAACACTTATGCATTAAAGTTTCTTCATACAACTTTAGCCGTAGCTAATTGCTCAATTGAGATATGATTTCCTCTTAAGATCTTTTAGCGATCACATTGTGTGCAAAAATTTCCAAACCATGCCCAACAATCTCCAAACATCAATATTTAAATTTGCCACGCTTTTCAAATTTGATTCCCCATCGAAATTAATTTAAACTCAAGAAAACCAAATCTAAACCCATCTTTAACATCAAAACCCATCTCCTTACTGCAACTGAAGTGAAATCACCCATTCAAAAAAGAATTCCTTGAACTTAGATTTTAGCTTGCTTGGATTCCAGCATCTCCTATACTTCACTCACGGCAGCTGAAAAGAGACAATAATAATCAACCCATAATTTCAGCATTTAACATGGACCCCCACTCTTTTTTTAAAGAACCCAACACTAGATCGTGACAGAGGAAGAAGGATGAAGAAACGAAACCTCACCCGCACCAGTGAGGAGACGACGCGAACAGGGGAGAAGGAGAACTCACAAGCTGAATGGCGCTCTGCAGTGCTAGTGACAGACGGACGACGTGACGGAAGAATGGGCAGCACCGAATCGAGGAAGAAGTATCTGCTGATGCGAAACAGAACAGAGAACGAGAAGAATTCGGCAGCTATGACAGCTGCACACACGCCGACGACGGGAAGAGGAAGAAAGGACGGAGCAGACGTTCTCGAACAGTCGAACCCCCCCCCCTTTCTCTCTCTCTCTCGCGATTTGCAGCGGATCCAAGATGAAAAGGAAGAGAAAGGGAAAAAAACATCTCATGCTGTTTTTCAGAGGCCATTTTGGTAACTTCGTATAATTTAGGTAAAACATTGGGGTTAAAAATCATTCTTTGAAAGATTTTAATTGTACATGAAAAATTATAAATATTTTTAAATTTAATTATAAATTAATTTTATCTTTTAATTTTAAAGATTTTTTTATCATTATCCTAACATTAAAAACACTAAACATTCGTTAATCATCATTGAGTTTCACTATCTTTTAATATTTTTATTAGGTTAAGTATTATTTTTATCCCTTCACTTTTATTCAAAAGGTTAGTTTTATCCTTCAATTTAAGTATTTTATAATAAAAAATAAAATTAAATGTCAAACATATTCTTAAGGTGCTTATGAAAATTTACAAATAATTCTGAACTTAATTATAGGTCATTATTATCCTTTAACCTTGGATTTTTTCTTTTATCACTCTAATGTTTATTTTGTCAATTTTTTTTCTGTTGGGCTCACTTTTTTTTATTTTTTAATGTTTTTATTATAAAATATTATATAATGAGCCCCACATATTTTTTTTTATATTTTTTATCCTCTCCTTTGCCCAACATATTTTTTAAATATTTTTTATTCTCTCCTTCTTTCTCTCCTTTCCTTCCTCTCTCTCCCCCCTGCCCTTTCTTCTCTCCTTCCACCATTTTTTAAATATTTTTATAGTATAAAAAATTTTCTCCCCTTCGATCTCTCTCATTCTCTCTCTCCTCTCCTCTCTCTCTCTATCTCCTCCTTATCATTCTCTCCCCTCCATCACGATTGTCGTTCATGAATGCATGTGCATGCGAGAACTTTGTTATTTATTTACTACTTATATATATATATATATATATATATCAATGTCTTTTATATTTATGATTCCGTTTCCTTTTCCTTTCTTTTTATAAATGTAGGAACGTGATGGATTTGTGAAGTGGGAAGGCATGTGCATGCGAAAACATTAAGATAAGGCTGAAAGTTGAAGAATGAATACACTCATCTCTTCTATTCTTGTCTCGAAAAACACAATGAGCCCTCAATGAAAGGAGTTATAGTTGCCTCCTACATGCACATTGTCTACTGTGTATTGATTCACTCTTTATTTATTGAAAACAATTATGTGAAAGTAAAATGATGAGCAATACAATTCTCATTCCCTTAAATAGAAACCAGGTGGTTGCTCGAAAGCAAGTTTGAACTCTGGAGGCTTCATCGAAAGGTTTGTACTCCGGAGCTTTTGTCTTTATTCTTCGCTGTTTTTTTCTGTTAGAAACAGAGATGTTCAGTTCTCTCTGTTCTCACGGCACGAAGCTAGATATCGGCGGTTGAGATTAAAGACTCGGCACATAACATGCACGTGAGTTGGAGGAGGAGGCGGGGTGGTACGAGGAGTGTAATTGAATGGGGTCTATACATGGAGCTACATCTTACTACATGTTGCAAGCTTCGTCTGTTCCTAGTCTTAGCTCTAAAAAATATTGCTGTCACTCTCCTCCCTCTCTCCCTTTCTCCCACAATTCATTGGCCTGGGCAAAAGGAGTCCTGTAATGGATCATCATTACTGGTTGGAGACATTGAACTTTCACCTTCACCTTCAGAAGCGCTAGCAAGTTCGCCTGGAAAGGAACCAGCAAGTGTGCCGCGTAAGGGATCATCTCCATCACCATCGCACTCATCGTCGACGTCGTTAACACAGTCTCCATCACCATCACCGATAGTATCTCTATCTTTGTCACGATTATTTTTTACGCCAATACTGCTACCTCCATTATTGTTGCCATCAGTGGAAGCACCAGTAGGGGCTGAAGCTTTTGGCTTCCTCTCGCTCCCGACAATGGCATGCTTAAACCGAAGCTCCTTGTGGAGAAGAGTGCTCACCCTTAATGGAATAGGGAGAGCATGAAATTGGGGCTCCTTCGCTTCACTTTTGGTAGAGTCGGCAAGAGGTTCTAAGGTCTTGTTTGGCGGTACTGGTTCTTAGACAGAGAAGAAGACGAAGAAGAGAGAGGGAGAGAATGGAGAGTGGGATGAGAGAGAGTGATATTATAAAAAATATTAAAAATAAACTGTGGGGCACACTATTAAATATTTTTTAATAAAAGTACTAAAAAATTAAAATGCAAGAACCACTTAACAGAAAAGGTAACCCCAGGGGCACTAAAGATTAAATTTCCAAAGTTAAAGAACAAAATTAACTTCAAGTTGAGTTTAAAAGGCACTTATAACCTTTCAAATATAGTTTAGAAATAAAAATGACCCTTCACTTAAAAAAAGTTAAAAAATAATGTAGAGTCCACTAATGATGAAAAAATAGCAGGGTGATGAGGAAGGTAACCTTCAAAGTTAAGGGATAAAATTGATCCATAGTTAAGTTTAGGAGCATTTGTGACCTTTCGTGTATAATTCAAAAATAAAAATAACCTTTAACCTTAAAACATTATGATCAATGATTAAATTGGATGGGAAAAGATTATAATCCACTTGGTTTTTGTAAATGAAAACATGTCCTTAATCTTATATATTTAATATATTTCTTTCTAATTAAATCAAGATAAGTGTATTTTTTATAGATTATTTCTTGTATAACAAAATCTTATTATTAATTGAAAGTTCACTTAAGAGGGGGTGAATTGGGCTACATAAAAATTTAGCTAAAAATAATAATAAAAATTAAGGAGATGAGTTTAAAATGATCTCACCAAACACTGATGAGAAAGGAAGAGAGGTTTACATAGATATTTATCCTAGTTCAACTCCAACCGCTTGAGCCTACGCCTAATCTTCAAGTAATCCTTGAGATTTTTTCTACTAACTCCATCAAGATTAAGTTGGGCTCTTGGTAACCACAATACAATCCCAAACTTATACTAAAGTCCATCCCACTTAAATTTTCGGAGTTTAAGATGCTCTGTTATGATAAGGAAAAATAGAGTATGTTTGATAATAAATAGTTATACTACTACAGAAATGAGATTTAATAACATGCATTTTGTAGCAACAAAAAATAAAACGCCACTAAAATTAAAGTCAAAGCAGAGAGGTGGTGTTTCTTATTTCAAATGCCACTGCTTATAAATTATTTTTTCTACTTATAATTTTAGTAAATAATAAGATGTGGCGTTTCAAAAAGGGAAAAACGCCACCCTCTTGTTTTTCATTAAATTAATATTTTTTTACAATTAAAAGTAGAGAGGTGAAAACGCCACCTCTCTACTCTATTATTAATTTTAACATTTTATTTTATGATATTAAATAATTATTTTATTATAATTTTTTTAATTAATAATTTTAATTTGTATATCTATTACTTAATAAGAAAACAAAGAGAGGTGGAATTTTCAAACTTGGAAATGTCACCTCTCTTCCTTTTTCAACATTTTATTATAAGATAAAATATTATTTTATTATAATTTATTTAATTAATATTAATTATTAATATGTATTATTATCTAATAATCAGAAAGTAGAGAAGTGGCATTTCTTCAACTTAGAAACGCTACCACTCTGCCCTGTTATTGATTTAATATTTTATTCTATCAGATTAAACAATTATTTATTATAATTTTTTAAAGAAATAATTTTAAATAGTATATGACATAATTTAATAAATAAAATAAGAGAGGTTAAGTTTTCTGTGCTTGAAAATATCATTTTCTATACTCTCTTATTAATTTAAAAAATTTATTTTAACATATTAAAAATTATTACTTTATAATTTACTTATTAAATATTTATAATTAATGTATAAAAAAATTTAAAAAATAATTGAATAGAGGTGGCGTTTCCAAACTTGAAAATGCCACCTCTCTTCCTTTTCCAACATTTTATTATAAGATAAAATATTATTTTATCATAATTTATTTAATTACTATTAATTATTAATATGTACTATTATTTAATAATTAGAAAGCAGAGAGGTGGCATTTCTTCAGCTTGGAAATGCCACCTCTCTGCCCTGTTATTGATTTAATATTTTATTCTATCAGATTAAATAATTATTTATTATAATTTGTTAAAGAAATAATTTTAAATAGTATATCACATCGTTTAATAAATAAAATAAGAGAGACCAAATTTTTTGTACTTGAAAATATCATTCTTTATACTCTCTTACTGTTTTAAAAATTTATTTTATTATATTAAAAAATTATTGCATTATAATTTACTTATTAAGTACTTATAACTAATATATAACAATATTTAAAAAAATAATTAAAGAGAGGTGTCGTTTCCAAACTTGGAAATGCCACCTCTCTTCCTTTTTCATTATTTTGTTTTTAAAATATATAAGTATTAAATATTATTTATTTATTTTTAAATATTAAAAAATTATTTAAATGAGAGAGGTGGCGTTTCTGTTGATGGAAACACCACCTCTCTCTTCAAAATTATTTTTTATCAATGAATTTAATTTTTCAAAAAATTAGAGAGGTGGCGTTTCTTTCATGAAGAAATGTCATCGCTGTGAGTTTTAATTATTTTTAAAAATTATAAATAGTTTTTAACTCTTATTTAAATTTTGAAACCCTAGCTAAGTTTTTTCATCTAAGTCATTCTCTTCGTCCAGCCACTCACTCTTCTCTCTTATAGTCCATGAGTTATCTATTCACTAATTGTTGAAAGTGCTCTCGTCGTCTTCTCTAGCTAAGGTTGCTTGCATGTGTATACTAATAACAGATTCTTTTTTCATTTTTATTACCTCTTATCTACATATCCATATATATATATATATACACACATGGATCTTTACGGTTTTGCTGTTGTTGATCTTCAGCTCACAATTTTTCTTTCCATTATTGAAGGGTTTGTTCTTTTAATTTGCTACCAAGCATATTTGTTGGTAAAATAATTTTCTAGGTCTAAATCTTTATTCAGATTTGGAGGATAGATAGTGAGATCTTAATCTTTGTGCTTTCAATGATAAATGATTTAATTTTGTCAAGTTTTAAACTTTCAAGAAGATAATGGTGA